TACGATGTGATTTGCTGTGCGTGGCCACAGCCCTGGCAATCTTCAAGATCTGCTTTGTTGGGCTGGCTTTCTCCTTTGTCCTTGTTTAGGCTGTGCCGGAACTAGTGCCAAGGGACTTCAACGCAAAATCCCTCAAAACCTCTAGTTGGCGGCGGTGTTCAGAGTTTGGGATGGCTATTCTCTAAGGGCTCTAGGCCCGAAGCCTTAGACCCTACAGTCCTGTTGGCCAGGCATCTCCCTGGACGATGCGCCCCCGGCCTCCATCTTTCGGACGGCGCGCCCCCTGTGTTGTTTTTGGTGTATCTTTGTAGGTTTCAGGCAGCGCGGGGGGGGGGGGTTAATGTCTGCAAGTACTACCTTGCACCCTAAGCCCTAAACTGGCAATGACCGGGAAAGGGTTGCACAATCACATACACGTTCTGTGAGCATGTACCTTTGAATACCCCGTGCTCGAACCTGCTGCTGCGCATTCATATAGACAAAGCAAGAGTAAGCCTGTGCGAATGAACTCCACTAAGCTTAGCACTCATGATGCTTAAGTGAAGTCTTCGGGAGTTAGATGCTTCTTTGGTCGGCTCGGACAGGTTCGGCTTCTCAAGATCGCCCGAGTTCTGAGGCTCGTGAACATCGACGCTCCTAAGCTGAATCTCATGGAACTTTGGGAACACAACGCGGTGATGAAATCTGAACAACCGACCTACGCTTCAAGCCCTTCCTTGATCGTACACACAACGGTCTTCCATGTCAAGTGAGGTCTTCAAGGACCTGCTGCAGATGCCCGGCTGCAAGCGCTTGCGCCAGGAGTGGTGAAACTGCAGTTGCCATTTGGGGGTTTTACGAAAATAGGGGTACCGTATTGGGGTCCTTATTGTAAGGGCATCCTACGATTTGGAGGTCTATACTACAGGTCCCCTATCCCCCATGTAAGCTCTTGGGGTTGTTTACTCTTGGTGGCTCGGACTCGGGCACAGGAGGCTTCTTGGGAGCTGCCAGAGGTGCAGAAGTGGCGCACATAGTATAGCTACGTGGTATATGGCATACTAGGCATAGTTGTAGAGATGCGTGGTATACATATATATACATATATATATATATATATACATATACAAACAGCATGTGTAGCACTCTTTCCCCGTTGTTGGCAACTGGTGCCTGCTGAGGATGATCCAGGGCCCCTTGGTTGCAGGTGGCGGCTTGGAATTTCCAGCTTGCACCACTGTTAAACTGTCAAATTGTCCATAGAATCATACATGTAGCCACAAATGCGTACGGGAATTCCGTGGCGTCAAGTGGCTCGATCTGTACTGTTTAGCGATCGGAATGTGTCTTGCCCCCGATTACATAGTGGACTTCAGCATTTCTTTAACACTTCCGAGCCCGCACAGCTCAGGCATGCTGGGCGGGATGAGCACGCTCTTTTGGGCCATGGTCTTCTTTGTGCTGATCGTGCAGCCTGCGCTGCAGGGGAGGGCAGAGTTTCATGTGGCTCGCAATTCGCTTGAGGGTTGGTGGCAACCCTACACTCCGCCTACGCCGTAGATCCTAAATGTGTAACGGGGGCTTCCTGAGCCCTAAATAAGGCCTACAATCCCTGGCAGAACATGGGGCAGATAAAGCAAAGTCATTGAGCGCCGAACGAATCGAGCTTGAGCCACCTTTGCTTCTGGAGGTTGGGCATGATGGTAAATGATAGGTTCCCTCAGCATGGAGTCCCTTTTTTGGCTTACAGAACCGCCAATTCTTTGTCTTTGAAGGATTGCGAATGGCCCTGCTATGCCTTGCAAGATTTTCAGCTCATGTTTGGTAACGACCCTTGGACTCTCTTCTTTGGAGCCTCGTAGGGTGTCCCACTAGGAGTAGCAGCGACCTTGTGCTACTCGCCATCGTTTGCTGGTTCTGTGGCTGTGCTTTCTGTACACTGCTCCTGACCAGCCCCAGTGCCCGAGCAATCTTCTGGTCTTTGCTGAGCGCGGTTCTTCGTGAAGTGCAACCCGCTTTGCCACCGCCTCGCTCGCTACAGGCCTCTTGTGCGCGAGCACCGAGCCTAAGCTTGTTGAACTGGAGCCTCAGGAAGTAGCGCGCCTGACCGAGCACATGAGCTTCGCTGAGGCAGAGCCGTTTTGCTACGAAGCCTGATGGCTTCCTTTGCCAAGCCTCCTTATTTGGGGGCATGGTGCACGGCAAAGGCGCCGCAGGGGTACACCAAGCCTTGGTTCAGACACGAGGGCGTAGCAGCTCACGCCTTCGTCGTGCGGGCTGTGGAGACCGGCTTCATTATCTGCGTGCCCCCGCCGGCAGTGCCCGAGGAGACGCTGCAGCAGGCCACAGCAGACCAGTACACTGGGGTCTTCGGCCCCTGGACCGCCACTGCCGTGAGAGCTGTTTCGGTGACGGGTCGGGAGCTACAGCGCACTTTGCCTTGCTTGCTGCTCGACCTCAATGCCTCTGCCATCAACATGCTGTCCGAAGAAGCCGACGCTGGCGAACCCGTGACCTTCGGTGTTCATCGCCTGCAGTCTGTCTGGCCAGCGCCTCACGCCGCAGTCGCTGCCCTCGAGACCTTCCTCAACAGCCACAACCTCGTGGTGGAGGGCTTCGAGCGCTTGGAGGGCTACTACACCGTGGCCTCCGATGGCGAGGGCGCTTTGGGACCAACAGCAGCGACGCAGGCAGCTTCTCCACAGGTTGGCGAACCAACTCCTCACCCAGGCCACCGAGCAGCGCCGCGTGCTTTCGAGTCTACAGTCCCGGCTGGCGGGCTTGGATCAGGTGGAGAATCGTCTGCAGCGTCTGGAAAGCAGCCACACTGCAACTCCAGTTCTTCCTGTACAGCCGCCGCCCTCCGAGTTGGGCCCCCCAGCTCTTTGCAGAGGGGTCTCGCAGTTCTCTGCGTCAGGGCCAAGTGCAGAAGCTGCTGATGTTGGCGGGACGTGGGCCAAAGAACATCGGCGACCTTCCAGGTCCAGAGACTGTCCACCCATACCCAGCGTGCGTGTGCTCTGCCAGGCCATTTTTGAGTGATGCCTCGCATCCTCGACCGAGTTGTGGCCTTGCCCTCTCCCGCCGTGCACTATCGGGCAGGCGCTTGGCGCGCGGGCGTCTCCGCCGTCACCGCGCCGCAGAATGTGGACCCGCCTTCTTGTGGCAGCAAACAATTTTCTTGCTGGTGGCCGGCCTGAGGCACCTACGCTTGCCGAGCAGCTCTTGAGATCTCAAGAGCTGCTTGTTGATCGTTTTGAGCGGCAGGTTGCAGCTTGGGTTCGCCTAGGTTCTGGGCCTAGACGCGAGCTTGACCGTGCAGTGCGGAAGTTTTCCGTTCTCGAGGACCAACTCAGTGACCTGCGTCGCCGTAGCCAGGCATTGCTGGCTCAGTTTCAGCCGTACTCAAAAAATCGTGGGCTCCAAGCTGCTCAGTGTGAACCTAGGGAGCCGGAGGTTTCCTTTGTTCCGACCGCGCTGGCGCCGCACACTTCGGGAAAGCCGGCCAGCTGTGCACGTAAGATGCCCAAGCAAACCTCCAGCCTCAACGTCGACCCTGATAGGTTGGTTTTTGACTACCAGTGCCTGCCGCAATTTTAAAGTCCTGTTGAAGCCGGCTTCTCAGTGGCCGGCGACCAAGCCAGCTAGGGTTATGGCTTCGAGGGAGGCCCAGTTCGGGTTGTATAAGAGGTAATCCCACCTGCTTCGTCCGAGGCCAGGTGCAGGTGCGGTTTGTTTGCAGTGTACAAAAGCGACAAGGTGGATCGGCGTGCTTGCTCGGCCAGATTTACATACCTCCGGGTCAGAACTTGGTCATTGGGTCGGACGATCTCAAAGATTTTTTCACGGGTTCCTTGTTTCCGACGAGCGCGCCTCCCGTAACCACCTGCGTGGAGTGTTTAGGGTTCGGATTTTAGGGGTTGCGCAGCGTGCCGCCCCGAACTTGATGGCTGCTTCCGCAGCCTCGCAATGGGCACTTGCTACGCAGTTGAAACTGCGCAGCATGCACACACCGTTCTGCTTCAGCGTGCCAACTGCTTGAAGCCTTCAGAACAAGTAGCCTATAAGTCCCCTTTCCCGAGAGGTCCAGGATTTGAGTTGTTGTGCATCGACGATCACGCGTATCTTCTTCTAGTCCCCAAGGGCCACCTGCGCCAGACCCCTAAACCCAATCGTGCCGACCGAGCACTGTTCTCCCACGCAGCTGGTGTGTACGCTAGATGTAGGCTGAGGACCTCCCCTAAGGAAGAAGTCCGCAATGCCTACTTAGCCACCATCCTCGGAGGCCAGGTCGATGGCGTTGAGGGTTCCATCTCAGCCCCTAAACTTAAGACCGCCGTGCTTGCAGTACTGACCTTTCAGTTGGCCATTTTAGGCTTCCCTTGGAAAGTGCTTCTGCAGTACCACCTCAAGCACATAAGCCAACCACATTAACATCAACGAGGAAGTGTCGTTTCGCAGCTCAATCAAGCATGTTGCCAAGACTGCCCCGAGCAGCCGTTTTGGGGTCTTGCTTGACAGCCGCGTTGTCATAGGTTGCAATGCAAAGGGCCGCTCGTCTAGCCAGCGGCTCAACTACTACATGTAACCTTTACCCTAACCTTTTCCATGCAGGTACCCACGATAATGCCACCGATGATCCGTCTCGATTGACCACGTTGCGTGCAGTCTCCAGTGAACAGCCCTTCTGGCTGAGATGCCTCCTGGCTGGAGATTTCCTACCCTTCGTATCGTGCGTAGGGCAGATGACTGCTTGCAGCCTTTGAATGGTTGGGCACGCCTTGCTGGCCTGACCCTGCTGGTGCATTTCATGAATGCCTCGGCGCAAGGCCAGGGATGCCACTTCACGTCTTGAGGTGGATCTGGATGCTACAGCTGGTCTGACGACAACAGTGCGGAAGCGCCGTGACCTGCCGTTTCAGAACTTCTCTCAGTGGGTGGTGGCGGAACTTGGGAACTTGGCTGCGACTTTTCTCAAATTTGTGTGAGCGGTCTCGTCCTTAGTACTGCTCTCGTAGGGTATGGTAAGCATCTTTTCTACCAGGCTGTCTCGCTGGGAAGAAGAGGAACCAACGTCTCGAGGCATGGTTATGCCTGAAGCGCTGTTTCGCGCCGGCGTTGCCTTGAGCCTGGCTTGGGGGTGGCCTCTGTTTGCGGCAGCGCTGCTACTAGGGTTCAACGGCCTCCTCAGGCGTGGAGAGGTCCTCGGACTACTGCGCTGTGAACTCATCTTGACGTGCGATCTCCTGAGTTGCAGGCAGGTGGCCTTTGTGCGCGTCCAGTGCTCGAAGACGAGCAGGTTCATGCTCCGGCAGCATGCTAAGATTCGGATGCTCTCTCTGTTCGCTTTCTTTCCGCGCTCTTCGCAGACCAACCGCCTGAGGCTCAGCCTTTTTGCTTGCTCCCCTGCGGTCTTTCGCAGGCGTTGGGACGAAGTTTTCAGCTTTCTTCATGTGCCAACTGCGGAGGTGAATCTCGGGGTGACACCTAAGTCACTGCGTGGTTCCAGAGCGACCTGGCTTTACCAGGAGACCGAGGACATCGAGAGAATCCAATGGGGAGGACGTTGGCAACAGCGCAGAACATTGGAGCATTACCTGCAAGACGTGGCAGGTCAGCTCCTCCTCGCCAGCTTGACAAAGAGTCAACGGCTACATGTCTCTGAGCTGTCTGCTTTCGCGGAACCATTACTGAGTACGTACATTGAGTTGGTCCCGTCTGCACATAGCTGAGCTGAGCATCCGGACATAACAAAGTTGGTTAGCCACTGCCCTCGAAGCTTGAAGCTTCAAGTGCAGTTCTCTCTTTAATCAGGACGCATCCTTTGAGTCTTTCTTGTGCAAAGCTTTCCTTGCCGTTCAGTTTGCGCAGTGCAGGCACGGGAGCCTTAGTGTAGCAGAGGAAAATGAGCCATCCTTGAGAAGAAACGCTTCCAGCGGAGCCCTTGGCTTCGAATTTGTTTGACCGAATTCAGGGTTTAGGGTACGGGCTGAGGCCAAAAGGGGAGAGCGACTCAGCAGATCCGGTGTCTGCCTGGTCGTGTGTCATTCTGATCTCATAGCCCTCGAGCTCGAGAGCCGCCAGCAAAAAGCATCACCCCCCAAACCGAGTTGCACAAACATCCAGACTCTGAGAACACGCTCCGAGAAGAGGTGCGCGAATACCATGATCGGATTTTGCCGTTTCTTTTGCCATGATGAACTAATGAAATATGCATGTTTGTTACCGATTTTAGGACTTTGCTCACGAATTGTTTCGTCTAAGTCCCCCCACCACAGAACTTGGAAAGGCAAGTTGCGCAAGGCGTACAGGCAAACAAAATGCAAGCTTTTTGGTTGAAAGGGAGGGGTTGAGCATTTCAGCTTAGCGTCATGGATTTTCCCACCGGCAGTGTCTGGAGGACATAGCAGCAGTATGAGACATGCTCAGGACACATGATAGAATACTTCGGGGGGACGCAGATGACTTATACACAGCAGCCTTTGGTCCCTTTCCTTCCTGACCAAGTCAATGCCCCCAGCTTCACCAAAGAGGGAGCCCCACTCCCCCACAACCTCCTGGGTGCGATCCCCTGAATCTCTGACCCCTCAACCCCCCCGCCCCCCTTTAGGGTTTAGGGTTTCGGGGTTTAGGGTTTAGGGTTTACCCAAGCCTCCTCTGAGCCCAATGCTGCATCCCAAACGTCTCCACGTACCGGCGCTCAGGTATGTCGCGGCGCTGGTCTTTCGGGAGCTTCTCGGGCGGCGGAAGGAAGCGCAGGGGCCCTGGGAGGAGGAACGGGTGCGGTTGGTGTCAGGATGCAAACCCTCAGCCCGCAACCCTCCTCCCAAATACCGTACCTTAAGCCCCTACAAACCCTTACTTCTGCGAAGCAGGGGCGTGGCTTCTAGGATCTTTTTTTTAAATGTTTTGCGGTATGAGCCCTAAACCCTAGCCCCTGCTTAGAGGGTTTAGGGTTTAGCCAGATCAAGCTCCCGGATGAGCCAGAGAAATACTGACATGCCCTGAGCGTAGGCTTCAGGCCCTAAAGCCCGAACCTCCAAACCCCAAAAATGTAGGTTTTTCAGGCCCCAATGCCTCAATACTAAGTCCTAAATCCTAAACCCTAACCCCGAAACCCTAAAGCCTAAAGCCTAAACCCTAGGATTAAAGCCCATAGAGTCCATAAAGCCTTAAACCGCATTGAGGCAGAACGTCACACCGTGGTTCGACTCGGTTCCACGATCGATGTCCAGACCTCTGAGGGTATGGCTTTGGGGCTTTTGATTTAATTTACGGATATTGAGGGACATAGGGGGTAGGCTTCGCTTAGTTCTGCATTTCTTGCAGCTCCCTCCAACCTGAACCTTCAACCAAAACCCCGACAGCCAAAGCCGAAATCCAAAGCTCCAAGCCTAAACCCCGCTGGCAAACTAGAGCCTTCGTAACCCCCCAAACTTCTAAAGCTTCTTGGGGAAGCACGGCGCCAGCACGAAGAAGCTGCTTGAGGTACTCCACCTTTCGATGCAGCTTCGGTGACTGTGCCGTGGTTGCATTTATAGTTTACAATACAGGGAGGGTGGTCCAAGATTAGGGGCCAGGGTTTAGGGTTTCTCTCCTTTAGTAGGGTACCAAGAAAGGCTCCCCTAGAGTTTTCCCCCATCTCACCTCTGACCAGTCTGCATAGAGAAGAAGAGGCGCCCCCTAAACCCTCAAAACCCTAGTCATGATGAAACCATGGGGTCCATGTAGAAGATCCAGCCAGCCGTGGATCCCTGCAGCCGGCCTAAACCCTGCACCCTATAACCCAGCATGTTAGGTCCCAAGCATTTTCGAAGCCCCAAGCCCATAACGCACCAGACGAAAGTCGCGGACCATCCGAAAAGCCCATGAGCCCCAATGGGCCCAGAGGGAGCATCTTAAACCCCAAGCCCCAAACCCCCCAACCCTAACCCCAAACCCTAAACCATCCTAAACCCCAAGCCTTGAGCCCTAAAGCCTAAGCCCTCGACGAAGCCTCAACACCTGCCTCCAGAAGATTGGACTCATATGCCGCAGGTGCGAACATCGCCGGGCAACCCATCTTCGAGTTCGTGCAAGAGGAGCATCTGGGGGTTTCTTTGTCACAAAACCCTGAACCCTAAACCCTAAACCCTAAACCAACCGGCGTTCAAATGTACGACCCTGAGGCAGCCCCCGGCCCGGAACCAAAAGGGACGCCCGTGCCATCCCTGGCACTGATGCTGGTGGCTCCTCTCAGGAATCAGGGTCATTGGGAGGGGTTCTAGATTTTTAGCCTTTTTGGGCCAGTTTGAGGAACCCAATATAGGCAGCCTGCCATATCAAACGCGTTTGGGACCAGATTTAGCATGTCGATCCCTGGCATGCTCACAGGAGATGGGTGTCTACAGCTGGTTCTACAGTGCCCCGCCTCATCACAGCGTCAACCAACTTTGCAATGTGATGCAATCCGATGGCTTTGGGTCTTGGAGCACGCTTTCGGTTTAGGGTTCGCCCGCCACTTCCCATTCAAAGGATTTAGGATTCAGGAGTTTGTGACAATCAACTCTATGAATCCCAAAATCCTTTAACCCCAGAGCCTCGACCCTTCCCTTTCTTGCCCTTCGCTTCCTGCTGGCTGTGTCCATGAAGCCGCATGCAGAGGTTTGATCTACTGTCTGTTCATATTTTCCATCACCATCGGGCTTTTCAATGACCCTCGGCTGCAGCTTCGTCTCTCTTTGTTCAGGATTCAAGCTCAGAGTTTTAGTAAACAGCAGCACATTACAGCTGACACTTCAGCCCCCTGACACGAGAGCAAACGGTGTTTGGGGGTCGGTGTCCGGCGAGCGCAACACGTAACGTGACGTGTGCGGAACGTGTCCTTTCCCATTCCCAGCAATCTGATCCAGACCTGCACTTGAACACCCAAGGTCGTGGGACCCCAAGTCACATCTTTCTTTGTGGTCTTGTGGTGTGCAGGTTCTAGAAAGGAACACCTCTCAACGATATCAGCGCCTTGCCTTTTCTTGCAGACCGGGCTAGCAACAGCTGCAGGTAATCTCCGCCATTTTCGTTGAGAGCACGATGGCCTCCGCCTCAACTCTCGCCACTGCCTAGTTTGTGTCAGGGATTGAGAGTGCAGGGCCCAGGGCTGTGGCATTAGGCACCTTCAGACAACTGCACTCAAGCCCAGGGCAATCTGGAATCTTTTGGGTGCATTATACTTCGCAATGTTCTGCATATATGCTGTATCGTCTTGTAAGGGCTGTTTTCAGCTCAGCCCGCAGGGTCTCAGACCTCGAACCACCGAGAACCACTCGCTTTAAGAGTTGAGGGGCTCCATGGGTTTTCAGAATTATCGGGGCTCTTTGGGGGGCTTAGAAGGGTTTCTGGGGGACGCGCCTCAGCGGGGTCTAACAGTGTTGCAGCTCCTAAGCAGGCTATTGTTGTGGGTACTTGAACCCTACGTATACACCCCCCCCCCCCTTCATGGTACCCCCCGCCCCAGAGGGTTTAGTGCTTAGGTTTTTTCCCCTCCGGGTCTCGGCAGGATTAAGCTCTGGGGGTTTAGGGTTGGTTTAGGGTTTGGGGTAGGCTCGAGGCTGAGGGCTGGGGCCACCCGACATCAGCTGGGGCCCCCTCAGAACAAACAGCATGGGGTCCTGAGGCAGCCGCGCAGAAGATGGCCCAGGTGCCAGTCGTCTGTGGTTTCTGCACGGCCCCAAACCCTGAACCCCCACAGCGGCGTCCGAAGAGCCCATCGTCCTCAAACCACAGCCCTCGAGAATGGCCTAAACCCTAGACCCTAGACCCTAGACCCTAAACCCTAAACCCTAAACCCTAAACCCTAAACCCCTCAACAAGAGCGGAGGAGAAGAAGCGAAAGCGCCACGCCGACGAGCATCTCCTGGCCTCGCGGCCGCTGCCTTGGTGGTGCCTTTTTTGAGGGTTTTGAGGCTTTTGAGGGTTTGAGGGTTTTAGGGTTTCAGGGTTTGAGGGTTTCAGGGTTTTCAGGGTTTTCAGGGTTTTCAGGGTTTAAGGGTTTCAGGGTTTCAGGGTTTTAGGGTCAGGCGTTGTAAGGAGTTTCTGGGGCCTTTGGAGCTTTTTGCCTTTCTTACTGGCGACCTTGCTTTCAAGCTCAGCTTTTTTGGGGGCTTTAGGCTTCGGGGCTTCAGGCTTTTATGCTTGCTTGGGATTTCAGTTATCGTTTCGGGTTGGGGTGTGGGTTTTTCGGGTGCAGCAACTTCAGATTTTGGGTTTCGGGTTAAGGTTTAGGGTTCTTGACTGTATGCTGTAGGCTTTCACTAGGAGATTTGGGGCTTGTTCTCCTTCTAGGGAGTGCATAGTGCGGTTGTTACTATCAAGCGGGCAGAACATCCCAAGATATCCGAAGCCCCGGAATTTAAGAGGGCTGTGGTGAGCAGAGAGCCATCGACGCCACAGCTTTCAGCACGTCGACCCCAAGCCTTGTCATCCCCATCATCCTTTGGGAAAGAATACTTAATCACCCCTCCCCTCTCCCCCCCCACCCCCCGTCCCAAATACATCTGTGCCCGAGAATTTGGGCCTGACAAGGGAGGTGGGGAGGCAGGGGACTCCCCTGAATTCCCTTACCTCGCAGGGTCACCCGCCTCATCACCTGCATCCTGAAGCACTCGCAGCACGGTGAACTGCACCACACCTTCTCAGAGGCCCGACGCCCAGGAGCTTCATGATTCAGACTCGAGACATTCAGGGGTTTGGGGGATTT